TCACACTTTGAAAACATGGCATATAACAGACGGTGCTTCAAAGTCTAATGCTGCTCATGCTCCTCTCAATTGCGGGAGTAAACCAAGTTATCGTCAATGAAGACAATCACAAAAGAATCTAGATAAGGCTTGAACACACAGTTCATCAAATCCATAAAGGCTGCTGGGGCATTGGTCAAGCCAAATGACATCACTAAGAACTCGTAGTGACCATACCGAGTCCAAAAAGCCATCTTAGGGACATCTGATGCCCTAATCTTCACATGATGGTAGCCCGATCTTAAATCAATCTTCGAGAACACCTTGGAGTCCTGAAGATTTTCAAATAAGTCATCAATCCTCGGCAATGGATACTTGTTCTTGATAGCGACCTTGTTCAGCTGCTTGTTGTCAATACACATCCTTATAGAGCCCTTTATCTTCTTCACAAATAACACTAGTGCACCCCAAGGAGAGACACCAGGTCTAATGAATCACTTATTAAGAAAATCCTACAACTATTACTTTAATTCCTTTAACTCAACTGGGGCCATATGGTATGGTGGAGTAGAAATTGGCTAAGTGCAAAGGACCAAGTCAATGCAGAATTTGATATCTCTGTTGGGTGGCATGCCCGACAAGTCTGTATGAAACACCCTTTGGAACTCACACAAAACTGGAACTAAATACATAGAAGGAACCTCTGTACTAGAATCATGAATATATACCAAGTACAGCAAACATCCCTTCTCAACCATACGCCGAGCCTTTACATATGAAATGACCTTGTTAATGGAATGACCAGGAGTCCATCTCCACTCCAGTCAAGGAAAGCCGACATAGCTAACCTCACAATCTTGGCATGATAATCTAAGATATTATGGTACAGTGACAACCAATCGATGCCCAAAATCACATCAAAATCCACCATACTGAATAATAGAAGGTCTACCCTGGTCTCACAACCCCTGATAGAGACCACAAATGAGTGATAAACATGGTCTACCTATATCAAATCCCAACAGGCGTAGACACATAAATAGGAGCACTCAACGAATCATGAGACATATTCAACTATGAAGCAAAATAGGATGACAGATACAATTAAGTAGAGCCCAGATCAAATAAAACTGATGCATCTTTGTGGCAACCTGAACAATACCTGTGATGACCGCATCAGACGACTCTGCCTCAGGTCTAGCTAGGAATGCTTAGCAATGGGGCTGAACCCTACCAATTTGACCTCTACCTCTCGGACGATCTCACTGGCCTCCACCTCTAACGGCCTGACGACTACCTTGGGCTTCCTAACCTTTGCCTCTAGCTGGATGAGTGGGCAGTGGAGCAACCGGTGCCAAATTTTTGGCACTAGTACCCTGTTGTGGCTTGCTGTTCCTCAATCTAAGACAGTACTTCTTGATATGGCCTGTGTTGCCGTGCTCATGCAGCTCTGCAACTGGCATAACTACTAAGTCCGAGACGATCCCTGATGATCCAAATGACCATCATAGTAACTCTATAGAGGTGGTGCACTAGTAGGAGATGAAGGTGCACTAAATACCGGCTGCTCAAAATGAGACCCATATGCACTGTGACCACCTGAAGAACCACGAGACACCTATAGTGCTAATTGAACCGGCCTGGTGGGATGGCCTCTACCAAATGAACCCTTGTTTCCAGACGAGGCACCACTAAAACCACAAAAATAATGAGGCCTCCTCTCACATGCCGCCTCTCTGCCCTGGTTACGAACCCTGTTGATCTTCCTAGCAATATCTACAACCCGAGTAAAAGAAATACCATCCTTAGTTTCTCTGCTATCTGCAGATTGACACTATAAGTAAGTCCATCCATAAATCTCCTCACCATATCCCTCTCAGTAGGGATCAAGATATCTCCATGGCATGATAGATCCACAAATTTAGTCTAATACTGGGAAACAGTCATGCTACACTACTGTAGGCGCTCAAACTGGGTATGTAGATCCTCTCTCTAAGTGAAGGTAATGAACTTCTCCAAGAATAGCTATGAGAACTTATCCGAAGTGAGTGAAGGTGAACCTACTAATCTACCCGAGCATACTCCTGCCACCACCTCTTGGTGGAGCCATACATATGAAATAGTGCGAAGTCAACTCCACTGGACTCCATTAAGACCATGTTGTGTGGTACCTCATGGGAAATGTCCAAGAAATCTTGACGATCCTCATAAGGAGTGCCACCAAAATTAATAGGAAATAGCTTGGTGAACCTGTCTAACCTCTTCAGTCCCTCTGATGATGACATCACGGGATCCTCCCCGAACTGTGTAGTAATAACAGGTTGAACTACTCCAACTACTGGAATTGCTAGAGTCTGATATCCGTGAGCTACCTGCTCTAGAGTGTGAGCAGGGGTCTTCATTATGAATGCAGACCAAGGGAAGCGAATGCTGACCAAGGGAAGCAAACGCGAAGGTAGGCTGGGGAACAGCCTTCGCGAACGTGATGTTGACTTCGCGAACGCAAAGGCCATTGGGCCAGTGCACTTCGCGAACGTGTATGTGCTTCGCGAATGTGAAGAACACCTGACGCCCAGTTATATAAATTGCTGAAAGTGGGGAATTGGTGATTCTTCACCATTTTTGAAAGCTAGAGCTCGGCCTAGAGAGGATTTTGCAGAGATTGTCATCCCAACTTCATTAGTTAGTGATTTTCAACTAGTTTGATGTATTTCCATAATCTCCCACTAATTTTAACCTTTTTTTACCTTTAATATATAAATTTCATGGTAGAAATTAGGGATTTTGGGTAGAATTTAGGAATTTTATAAAATTGAGATTTAGACCTCAAATTGAGGTCAAATATAAAAAAATCACATAACCAAGCTCGGGGGTGAATGCGTAATCGAGTTTTGGTGTGAATCTCAAATTTTGACCAAGCGGGCTCGGGATTGACTTTTGTTGAATTTTTCCAATTTCATTAAAGATTAAATATTTTTCACTCTTGGGTAGTTTCTAAAGCTTATTTTGAACTGTTTGAACTATATTCGGCTAGATTTGATGTGTTTGGAGGTTGATTCTAAAGGAAAAGCTGTTGTTGATCATTGATTTGGTTGCGGAAAGAGGTATGTGTCGTGGTTAACCTTGACTTGAGGGAATTAGGACTTGATTGGATTATTTGATATTTGATTTATGTGTGGGGACGATGTATATGTAAGGTGACGAATGTATATACATAGCCACGGATTAAGCATGTGGGTTGGGATATTTATTTATTGACTTCAGTTATTTCATGCTTTTGTTTAATCCATGTTATTATTTGTTAAATGCTCTAATTATTACTTTCCCTTACTTGTTAAATTCATGCCTTTATCCGTTACATGCCTTGATTTGCTAAATGATTCCATATATCTGTGTCTTTATTACCTTGTGTGTTGTTAAATAGCTACTTTTATCTGCTTTATGTCTTTAATTATGTAATTATCTTATTGTGTTTTATTTGAGATACGCCGTAGTTAGTTGAAATTGTACATTTGTATTATTATTATGTGGGATCGAGTTGCACGCTACAACGGTTATTGGTATTATTGTGTGTGATCGGATTGCACGACGCAACGGTATTTGTATATGTGTATTTTGGATCGGGTTGCGCGCCGCAACGACAACCTCTCTACCTTCATAGGTAAGGTAAGGTCAGCGTACATACTTCCCTCCCCAGACTCTACTTGTGGGATTCCACTAGGTTGTTGTTGGGTTGCGCATTGCAATAGAGAAGATATATATATATATATATATATATATATATATATATATATATATATATATATATATATATATATATATATATATATATATACATATACATATATATATATCGAGTTGCTCGTCGCAACCGTAAAGATATATTGATTGTTCATAACTGTTGATTTCGTATTTGTGTTGTATTGAGAAAATTGAGCTTTGATGTTATTCTGGGGCCCTCTGTTATGTATTTTCTGTTCCAGTTTTCATGTTATACTTGTTTTCTTTGTTTTGTTGTTATATCATTATAGTCGTACAGGTTTACAGTGAGTGCTTTGTTATAGCCTCGTCACTACTTCGTCGAGTTTAGACTCGGTACTAACATAGTATATGTGGTCGGTTATACTCATACTACACTTCTGTACTTCTTGTGCAGATTCTTGTGTTGGTTCTAGCAGCGTCTAGTGGAGTTTTGCTCGAATCATATCTGCATTTGGAGACTTGAGGTAGAGTTGCATGGTGATTGCAGTCCTTGAAGACCTATTGCTTACCTAGTGTTACTGTTTATTTTGTTTCAATCAGTTGTATTTTTATTCAGACATTGGTTGTAGCACTTCTAGTATGCTCATGTACTTGTGACACCAAATTCCGTGGTTTGACTAGTCTGCATTTGGAGTTATTATATCTATTTCGAAATTTTACAGCTTTATTTCTCATTAAATTGCTTTCAAATTGGTTTTAAGATGAATAAATTTGTACTAATGTTAGCTTCCCTAGCAAGTGGACGTTAGGCACCACCACGACCCCGAGGTTGGAATTTCGGGCATGACCCCAGGCCTAGACCGTCTCTTGTATGATCTTCTTAAAAAATAATACACCTACTAAGGATCTATATCTGAGTTGTTTTTTGTAAATGACCGTTCCCTATTTTCGCCATGTTAATTTAGTCCATTAAATTTAGCGGGCTAATTGAAAAAAATTCTTAGTTCTACCCATCAAGTCTCATTTAGAACATAAAAATCCATTTAGCATCACGTAAATAAAACCCAAATAGGATTTTATACTAGTTAACTTGATCAAAAGTGTCGATTCTTTGTTTAAATTTACCCAATCCCCGAGAGCTCTCGACCAAAAATGAATTTTCAAAATACGTTGATATACCAAACTCTTTCGCGATCATAGACAATCCTTCGATGCCTGTCCAGGCATTCGTGATCACGGCACAATACTACTCAAAAACGGAAGTTGACTTGGTTCATACTAGCCCTATGTGATAACAGAATTGCACCAGCGACATACTCTCACAATCGCATCAAACTCCTCCCTATTGTGATCCTGGGCCAGGGCAGGGCAGTCGTGATCATGGCACTGTCAAAATGAGGCCCTACGTCTGCCATAGTCAAGCAATTGCTGAGAAATGAGAGCAGAGATGAAGAAGAAGAAATGAAAGAAGAGACGAGAAGAGAGAGCTTAGATCAACTCATATTTTTCACTAACTAAAAAAGAATGTAATGTACATTACATATATACTAACAACAAACCGACTAACCTCCTATTTACATCTTCTAGAACAGTACAAGTTAAATAGCCTTAGGTAAACCTTTACAACCTATTAATTTCTACACTCCCCCTCAAGTTGAGAATGAAAAATGTTTTTCATTCCCAACTTGGATACCAAAACTGCATGCTATTGGTGTCCCAAAGCCTTTGTCAAGACATCAGCTGGTTGCTCATTAGTCCCACTACGTGCAGTTTTGATTAACCCCTCTTGAATTTTTCCCCTTATAAAATGACAATCAATCTCTATGTGTTTTGTTCTTTCGTGGTAGATAGGAGTTGCAGCAATTTGAGGGTAGCCTTGTTGTCATAATACAACTCTATAGGCTCTTTCATGTCTAGTGTTAGTTCCTTCAGCAAACCATTGAACCATGTCAATTCTGCCACTGTGTGCCATGCTCCTGTATTCAGCTTCAGCTGAGCTCCTTGAGATGGTAGTATGCTTCTTTGCCTTCCACAAAATGAGGGAACTTCCCAACTTGATACAGAACCCTGTAATGGACTTCCTAGACATGGGACATGATGCCCAGTTTGAATCATAGAATCCCTGAACCTTTTCTGTACTGTTGCTTGACATGAGAAGACCAAGTCCAGGCTGATCCTTGAGATATCTCACAACATGTAATGTAGCCTCATAGTGAGACTTCTTGGGTGCATGCATGAATTGGCTTAGACTTTGTACAACATATGCAATATCAGGTCTTGTGATTGTCAAGTACAAAAGCTTTCCAACTAGCCTTTGAAAAAGACTTTTGTCTTCCAAGATAGTGTCATCAACATTCTCATTTACTATCTTATCCAACTTTGTGCTTGCGAGCTTCAAATTTTGTTCCATTGGAGTCTTCTTGGGCTTTGAACCAGAGAGTCCAGCCTCTGAGATCATCTCCAAGGCATACTTCCTTTGAGACATGAAGATGCCTTCTACTGATCTAGCAATTTCTATTCCCAAAAAATACCTCAACTATCCGAGGTCCTTCAGTTTAAAGTTCTGATGCAAAGATGCTTTTGATCTATTTATCTCCTCTTGATCATTACTTGTAATAAGCAAGTCATCTACATAGATAAGTGTGAGAACAAACTTTCCATTAGTTGCCTTAATGAACGAAGAGTAATCATGTCTACTTTGATGAAAACCAGATTTGAGAAGTGCCTGTGTTAGCTTCAAATTCCACTGCCTAGAGGCCTGTTTCAAGCCATATAGGGATTTGAGTAGTCTACAAACTCTATACTCCCCCTGACTACCAAATCTTTGAGGCATAGTTATGTAGACTTCTTCATGTAAGTCACTATTTAAAAAGGCATTATGGACATCCATTTGAAAGATTGGCCAGTTTCTGAGTGCAACAACTGCTATAACAGTTCTCACTGTGGTCATTTTGGCCACAGGTGAGAATGTGTCATGAAAATCAATCCCTTCCTGCTGGGTATAACCTTTTGCAACCAGTCTAGACTTAAACCTTTCTACTGTGCCATCAGCATTGTACTTAATTTTGTACACCCATTTACATCCTATATGGACTTTGCCAGGGGGTAAATCTACTACTTCCCAAGTGTTGTTCTGTTCTAATGCTTCAATCTCAAGTTTCATAGCCTTGATCCACCTATCATCTTTGACAGCTTGAGAAAAAGAGGTTGGCCCAGTGTCTGAAGAGAAGGAGGCTAGGTAAGATTGAAAAGAGGGAGAGAGATGAGATAAGAAATGAAGTGATGGATAGGGTAAGGAGATGAAGTGGAAGCAGAAGTGGCAGGTAGAGGAGGATTCACATAATCAGTCAGCCATATAGGAGTTTTGGAGACCCTATCTGACTTTCTTACTTGTGTGAGATTGGTAATTTGAATAGCACTTGGGTCTGGGGATATAACATGAGTGTCATAAGAGGAATCAACAACCAAAAGAAGAGTAGAAGAGGAAGAATGATTAGGAATAGAAGGAGAACTGACAGGGGAAGTAGGAAAAAGAGCAGGTGAGTCTGCTGAATCACTTGAAGGATCAAGTGCTGTGACTTCTGGTTGAACATTGGTACATGGTTTTGGTGCTATGTTAGAAGGAGGAAAGATATCTGATGCGGGACAAGTAGGATTTGGATCAGGGATAACTAGGAATCTGTGTTTGGGATGTTTGAAAGGAAAGATCCCTTCCTTGAAGACAACATCTCTACTGAATATGAACTTATTAGCAACAATATCATACACTTTATATCCATTTTGTGTTGATGCATATCCCATGAAGACTCCAGGGATAGACCTAGGATTGAACTTATCATGGAAATAAGTTTTTGTGGCATAGCAAAGACATCCCATAGTTCTTATGTGGTCAAAAGAAGGTGTTTTTCCATGGAATACCTCATAAGGAGATTTTCCTTGTAGGACAGAACCAGAAATTCTACTAATGATGTATGTTGCTGTTAGAATGCAATTCCACCCCCCACCCCCACCCCAAAAAAATTCAAGGGTATGTTGGCCTGAAATCTATGGCTCTTCTGTCACGACCCCAAACCCGGTCGTGATGGCGCCCAACACTAATGCTAGGCAAGCCCGACCATTTACTCTCTCAACCCGAGCACAAAGCTCAAAACCAATTAATCAGATACTTAAAATCAAATATTAATACTCCAAAATATCATACAAACTTGTTCCAATCACCAAAACACGTCAAACAACACAAAATCATCAAATTACCACGGATTCAAGCCTAAGTTAAACTAAAACTTCTGAAACTTGCATTTGACCAGAAACCCGACCCAACGACGTCCGAACGACCTGAAAATTTGCAGACATATCCAACATCACCTAACGAAGCTACTGAAACTCTCGGAATTCCATTCCGACCCTCGGGTCAAAATCTCACCTACCAACCGGAATTCGCCAAAATTCAACCTTAGCCAATTCAAGCCTAATTCTACACCTGACCTCCAAATTGAATTCCGACTTCACTCCTAAGTCACAAATCATCCCCCGAAGCTACCCGAACCACCGGAACTCACATCCGAGCCCTCTAACTACATAGTCAACTTCCGGTTGACTTTTTCCAAAGCAAGCTTCCTTCAAAAAGGCTAAGTGCCATATTTCCAACTAGAACCAATCCAATTCTACCCGATCAACTCAAATACTGATATTAAATCATGGAGGGACATAATATGGGGGAAATGGGACGGTAACTCACGTGACGACGGGCCGGGTCGTCACATCCTCCCCAACTTAAACAAACGCTCATCCTCGAGCGTATCCAGAGTTGTTCTAGAAGCCAACCAATAGCTGAACGATCTTACCAATCATATACCCGGGGTGATCCCTCGCCATCCTATCTCGCGTAGACCCGATAACACAATATAGCCGAACTTCCACAGTCCCTTTAAGCCATAAACCATAGAACCACGTTGCACTTTTCGAAAAAATCATACCCAAGATCAGAAATTCACATCTATACTCAAAGTAAACCCGAACCAACTGTAATAACCCATACTTGCACCCTCAGGTGAAAACATATGATATACCGCCTAAACCAAACACTCGGAACTATAACTTCTATTCACAGTAGTTGTCCCCAGCAACCAATTACCGGCAGAGAACCTCTCACTAGCTAAAGCCTTATTCCAACACTCTCATATACTGCCAACGATGAATGAAACACGCTATAAACCGTAATCATCTCTCAGATCGACCATTCATGAAACCACTTCCCTTGACTTATATCACAACAGATTTCCGGGTCAAACCTCGATATTATCTTCCTAACAAGCTGAGATCAAATCTGTCCGTATGCATTAATGAACCCAACGATCACCTCGAATCCAACACCACTCTGGTGATATGATATCTCCATACAAGCCTAAACCACAACCTGCATAATACACGCACCCGTAAGAAACGGTCTGAACATGCTCAAATCGGGACAAACGGCTCCAATGAAAGAGCTGTACCTCAAGCTCATCAATACCATTACAACACAAGGCTGAGACTCCGTCTCGCATCGTAGAAATATAACAGCTGAATCTACCTCGAAAGGTCATAACTCCACGTAGCCTCGCTACAATACGCGATCCTATCCCAACACTGTTACACATGAAGCGCCTCAAGACACTGTGAATCAAAATTCAACAGCCACACACAATTGATGTCTGACACTAACGCAATTTATCACACCCACTGTGAAACAGATAACACACGACACGCAACCTGATAGGCCATACCCAACACTCCATTTTACCGAGCGACACGCAATTACTCTTCCCGCTCGACCTCCACTATGAATCCCCTAATAGAACTGCACCACGTGTGCCCATAACCAGCAAATCATACGCCTCACAGCACAGAAAAGGTAACTCCTAGATCTCCTCAGCTCACTAACAAGTTCAATAACGATCGAATTAACCTGTCCCTCAACAATTCAACTTGGGACTAACCAAGCTAACTCAAGCTACATACGTAGCCACGCTGGCCTGCCAACGAACTCAATACTAAGAAGTCCGAAGCTGCTCCTTCCACTACTATAACCCCTGCCAGAGCCGTACGATACGGTGTCCGGCACCAATTAAGTACCGAAATCCACAATCTCACCCGGC